ACAACTGCTTAAATCAATTGATATATACAAGGAGGGACAGAGCAAAGGTTTTTTGGAGAGACAATAGCCTTAATTTAGGCAGGCTAGTCTTTCTATGCAGTCAATGGAAAGGGAAAGGTCTCCTCTATCCTTGGTTCCTGTTTCTCAGGAAACTATTAAATAACTGCTCTAGGAGTCTCAGTTTCCCTTGAGTTTTCAGCTATTTTTTCTTAGCATACAGATAAAAATTATGTAGTTATGACTATGCAAAAGACAATTAATATTAATAGTCTTAATGTTAACAAGGCTGGTAACACCAAACAGGGAATTATCAAGAATGCTCAGAATACTCAAGTTAAATACAAGTGAACCCCAAAATCCCCCAGCATATGAAAGAGAGTGACTTTCAGAAAATGTGTCCTACCCCAGTCTACTCCTGACTTTCTGAATTCAGTCAATTTTTCTGTTGGTTAAAGAATTTAGAAAAGCATGTATGGACGTTTTGATGCAGAGTGCTTAAGCCTCTCATTCTATTTCTGACAGAATATGACTGTGTTTGTGGTTTTCATTTCCCTTTGGAAAAGTGTGGGTGTGTTTCTCTTCCCATCACATCCCATACAGGCAGGCTGAATGGACTAGCTTCCTAGGCTAGTATTAGGGATTTTGGAACTCCCTCACTGCATTTATGTCTTGTAAAGGCCTTAATACATTGTCAGCACTTAACACCAGGGGATAATTCTGGAGCCAGACACTCTTATCGCAGGCCTCAAGTCACTTCTATTGATTTCAAATATCATGCTTCTTTTATCTTCACTCCATTCAGGATAGAGTCTGGTTGAGTCACCCTTACTATATACATCATTTAAGTAACACAAGAAAAGTAAGATACTTCAGGAAACTCTTGTACAAAGGCAATATTATTTTATACTAATTGTTAGAACAGAGCATATGAAAAGAAGGATAATTTTTTTTCTTTGAAAGCCAGATAATAACTCCATTGAAATGATGGGGGTGCGGTCATTGCTTTAAATAAGAGTGGGAGATGATAACTTTTCTTCTTTGATTTGGAAGGCTTTTGGACAGCTCTTTAGGAGTTACTAGCCCTCATTATTGATAAGTAACCAATAACTGAGTAAGTCTTAACCCCAAATTAACTGTATCAAAAATAAAATAGTATCAGTGAAGAAGAATGTCTCTAACAAGTCTAGTTTGACCAAGCTCCTTCACCACAATCAGAAGAAAGAAAAAAATATATCTGGATTTAGCAATGGATACAACATGACCACATGGGTCAACGAAGGTACTGAGAAGAGTAGACTTTAGGCCTTTGCACCCAGCCTTCTTTACAAGAAATCTACAGGACAGTACTTGACTAGCTTAATGGGGACAGGAGGTGTTTTATATAAAAAATACTAAACAGGAAAGGAATAGTTTTATTATTAGTACAGCAGAAGAACCATAAGTCACAGATAGACGCTAGGCATGGCTGCTCATAGAAGGACCCAGATGCCAAACTAGAAAAGATACACAGAGCTTCCCATAGCAGCATCTGGCTTTTTGGTAGGGTCTACACACTTGAGCGTTGATGACTCTGAATTTGCTTCTTAGTCTTTCAACCAGCTGGACTGCAGTGGCCCTGGGCAAAACTATAGAACCCTTTGCTCTGTAGCACATCATTTCACATAGTATTTCCTTTTTCCTAAATAAATATCTCACTGCCAGATAAATAAAAATTGAATTCCCCAGTCTATCAATACAAAAACATTTTAATGTTGGAAAAAACAGGATCTTAAATGTATACTCCTTTCTCTCCCTCTCTCTCTCTCTCTCCCTCTCTCCCTCTCCTTTTTCTTTTGTTGTATTGCAGATCAACCACTGATCATGAGTGTATAGGAAGACTTGGGAAATATCCAATGTGAGTATGTCCTGCCTGTAAATGAGAAAAGAGCTGAAAACGCATACATATTCTTGCATGTCCTTAATGGATTTAAGCTAGTAGTACATCAAAGTTAAATACATTATACTGATATATATTGAAGATATCTCTTAAAGCAAGTAAAAGGGGGAATCACTACATTTCCTTCTACTCCTTTCACCAAAGGCTTTTACAATGATATTAAATATTAACTCTGTATAGGTTTAATCCCAAGCCGCAGCAGCAGCCTTAAGGTTAATAGTCCTTTTAATTAAAGGATAAGTCAGTTATTGAACACAGAAGCTAATCACAAAAGGATTACCACTGAAAATGAACATAGTCTGTGCAATTAGTCTGATAATTAAGACTTAAGTACTGGACAGAGATCAAAGTGCTTGTAATCTGCAATAAAGTTCCTAGAGTTGTAAGGATTTTCAAAATGTTAGCTTGTGCTTTATTGCACCTTCCATTTATTGTGTACCCATGATAGCAGCAAACACATTTTCCCAATGGATATCAGCATGTATAACTGCAACAGCTGTTACTACATAAGCCTGGTGTTTCTCACAATATGATTACTTTGTCAACGACTACCATAAAAGGTGGCATCTGTATTCATCAAACAGAGTTATCAATAAATGTAAAGCCATACAACAATTAGAGATCTCTAAGGAAGAACAAATCCAACAAAAAAAATGTCAGCTACACTATTTAATTACTAAGATTGTTAATCAATAAAATGCCTTCATAACTTTTAATTAAATTTTTATTTGAACTGTATGTTTAGAGAATCTGATTCTTTGTTTTCGTTTCATTTAACAGTTGCACAACTAAAGTACTGGTGGCATCTGTGAACAACCATCCTCTGGGGGACACTTCATGTTTGTAATTGCATTTTGTCACCTACAGAGGGTGTTAAGAATCTTGTTAAAAATAAAGGAAATAGTTAGGAGACATCTCACTGTAGCCATTATTATAGTGCAAATTACCAGGTAGAGCAATCCAGAAGCTGTCAGGAACAGCTTTTCAGCAATTCATCATGGCCTAACACTAGCTCTAAAATGAGAGCTTTAAAAAAAGGTATTGTTTTATGAAGTAAGGGACATTATATTTTTTTCTTTTTTTTACAGCAGTGAATAAAGATAACAAGCAGAGTGGTCCTCTTATGAAAGATATAAAGACATAATGATGAAAAATGTCTATTATTTTATTGCAGAAATTTGCAGGCAAGGTAAAAATGAGATAGAGGTTGTTACAATGGAAAGAGGCCATTGCTATATATTTCCTCTCCTTTATTTCTCTTTTAATTTTGTAATATGGAGTCTGTTTTTGCAGCCCTCACTCAGGCAAAAACAGGCAAAGGCTTTTCAGGTCACGAGGCTTATCTCTAAAGGCTCTATAAGACATCATGAAAATGGATAAAATTTGCTTTTCGGAAAGTTTTTACAAGCACAGTTTTGATAACTTGTTGTAACACAAATTACCTTTGTTAAGGGAAGGGAAATTAAGAGTTCATTACTGCTTGTCTCACTAGCAAACAAATATTATCTGCCTCTTCCTTAGACTTTAGGATTTGGCAATTCAGTAAGCACTATTTGATGTTTAGATTTGATGGTGATTCTCCACTGCTCCACCGTGGCTTCCTGGATACCATTCACCAACTAGGGAACAGTTAATCCACAGCAGGCCTGCCTGTATATCTTCTGATAATATTTGGAGACACCAACTGCTATTAAGTATTGGATGGGATAGTGCCATTTTCTAACTGAAAAGCTAGAAAACATATCCAAACTTCTCAGCAGCGGAAAAACATTACCTAGAGATTATGTCTACCTCTCCCCAAAACTCCCATAATCACAGTAGGAATGGGATGGCTCAGGGGATTAATAATGCAATACAGAGCATTTCACCTCTAGGTCATTGGAGCTGAAATCAGTACAGAACAAAAGCCCTTACCTTTTGATGCACAATCAGCAGCCTTACGTGAAATGATTTCACACTCTAAGACTGTTCTAGCGGGCATGTGGAGATATTATACATCCACTATCAAGTTTGATATTGTCAGCCTCGGAGACTGAACTGCCCTTTCAGGCCTCCAGAGCAGCACTGAAATATATCTGCAGGGCCATATGAGGACTATCGTAACGCTGCTGTCATGGTTGTATTTGTTCTATATTATAGACTGCTGTTGATACGAGGTGCTCCCTGAGGAATGCCATGGTTGTTGTTATGTTTTTTGTTGTTTCATGTTCAATGAAGCTGTAATTATGGCAAAGCCTGGAGAGAAACCTTGGTCTTCTATGAAGCACCTAAAATGTACTTTCAGGGCAAAAACCAAAAACCTAAACTAGTAAAATTTAGTGATAGACCTGTTTCCATAAGCCCACAAAATTGTCCTAGTAAATTCTGGTCAGGTGAAGTGGAAGAAAGGGACCACAATTTAGTGGTGGAGAGGAGGGGGTTACTATAGGGCATGCAAAGAGGTAATAGATTATATATATGCACTACAAATTCAAATTACTGAGACAGTCTATCAGCATTACAGGCATAAGAAAGGAAGGTGTGTTTTATTTCATTGTGTTGCAATAGGGTCTGAAAAAGAAAATTTATATAATTAAGAAAGCACTATGATTCCATTGGTTAAATGTATAGGTATCTTCTGATTCCAGTCCTAATAACAGGTAAACAGTCATCAAAGCATCCATTCTACTATGGGGATAAAAGGGAAAAAGGAGAGCGTCCTGGGGGATACTTAGCAACAATCAAATTTACCTAATTCAGGCAGTGATGATGAACACAAAAACAAAGTATGAGGGAAGGAACTACAGAGTACTAGTGGTATATTCAAATCCTGAAGGAAAAGAAAGAGTCTTTAGCTGAATTGGGGGAGAAAGGGATCAAGAAGTCAATAATCAATGAAATAATTCAACAGCAGTTGCTTCCTATGCCCTCTCTTTCCTAATTCCGCTGCTGTTGCAGCCATGATACCTTCTCAGCCTAATGTAAAGTGTAAAAATCTGAATCTTCAGTGAGAAGAATTTTCTAAACAAATTTGATAAACATCTGAATTTTCAGCCTTTTCCATTTTTTTTCTCAGGCCCTACATATGGATATCAAAAGGTAAGAACATGTTTAAAGCCTTGAAAACAGCAGTCCTTGATAATTTAACACTCATATTTTCTTGTATTTTTGAGGGTCTATTTGCTTACATTTGATACTGTACGAAAAATAAGCAGTTGCTTGGCAATATTTTATTTTATTTTATTTTCGCAACAACAAATCACAGCATCTAGTTAGTTTCTACATTTTTTACTTTAAAGCAACTGTAAAACAACAAAAAACATGAAAAAGTCCTTGTTTCGTTATTAGTAGTAGAAAATTAATCAAATCCACAAAGCAAAAGTATGAGGTCATCCATTTGAATTGTACAAATAAAATTAGTTTATTATTTATTTCCCGGCTTAAAGATTAAATGATTTTAAAGTACTCCTAAAGTACTATATACACAAACACACATACGTAGCCTGATATGTGTGGGTCAAACATGTTTTAGGATCTCCTATTTTAACTTCACTGATACTGGAACACCTATGAGTTGCTTTATGGAGTTTTCCAAATTAGCAACAATGTGAAAAAAATTGTATACCTGCTTTATAATCCAGTTTTATTGTTTCTTCAAAACAGAGAGAGCATCAACTTGAAGACAGTAGACCTCAATCCACTTTCCACTGACGTGAATGGCAAAATTCCCACTCATTTCAATGGTGGAGGATTTGGGCTCTTTGCCAGCAATTATATTTTGGTACTGTGGCCAAATCCTATTGCCACTAAAGTTGATGGCAATTTTTTTATTGACATCTATGGGAGCAGGAGTTTAGGCTTAATATCAGCATTCATTTAATAGCCATGCCTAATGCTTCCTTCTGCTAAGAGAAAAAAAAAATCAAGCAAAGGCATATTAAGAATGCACTGTTCAGATGCCTGGTTACTCATCAGCATCCATTCAGTTATAAAATAACTTTTTAATACATAACTTAAGAAGTAGAAACCTTGGCAGAAAAGGTGACCAAAATCTGTTCTCACCTTCGATATGAAAATTTCACAAGGACTATTAACAGCAAGGGATTGTGGTGGCATTTAAAAAAAAAAGGTGGAGGGATAAAAAGACGATTGTCTCAGATTGAGGGCATCCTAAAACTTTGTGATCCTTGGAGGATCTGTGACGATAAACAGAAATACTAACAAGCAGAAGACAGATAAGATGACAAGTTGAGGCACTTTACTGAAGTCTCCTAGAGTTCTTGGTGTACTCTCTTATGTAAAAAGACATGGAAGAATGCTGCAGTTGTTACTTAGTAGAGTTTTTAAAAGGAGCTGCTTATCTGATGTTTAAATGGCAGAAGGCTTAATTACAAGCACATCAATGCAAGTTAGCATTGATGAGAAAAAGGTTGTATTTATATCCAACCTTAATGCAATTCCAAGAGCTAGTGTTTATTTGCAATGTTAGTGGTATTTACTATAGACTTGTCAGAATGGTGCATTCACTTTTCATAGATACAAAAATACCTTTATGAACAGATGATAGCATCAATCACTTTTAGTATCTGGATGTCATACATGTACGAAAACCCTGTTCACTACCTTCAATAAGGAATTTTTTAAAATATTCCTCAAAATACAAATACATATATTTTAATTCACAAGAGAACAGATTAACCAAATGTTCCTTCCATGACATGTTGGGTGAGAATCTATCTTGTTGCAATGCTAAAAATTCTCAATCCATCAATTAAATGCAGATTCAGGATACCATCTCGTATTTCCTTGTCAAATAAATTATGTCTTACATCAAAGACCACACAGATTCCTACTTAACAAAACAAGGGTATGTCTGAACATATCATAAATGTGAAATATGAAAGAGAACAAAATGAGACAGCCAATAAAATGTAAGATTTGTTAGTCAGATAACATATACCTTAGAAATAACATTATCGGCACTCAGAATTATGATTAAAGAAATATTCTTAATCTGTTACTAATTTTTCCCATAGAATGAAAAAGAGCAAAAATCTGTGAGAAGTGAAAAGAGAAAAAGTAGCAGATTACATTAGGTGTTTAAATGCATACATTTCTATTGTATCAGGAAAAACAAAGACTTTTCTCCTCTTTTTTTCTTTTATTTTCCCTATTCAGTACAACATCAGGCTGGAAAAAGGTGCATATTGTCAAATGGCAAAGTTTGAACATGATATAAAATTATCCAGGGTAGTCAAATTGAAAACTATGAGTAGAAATTGCCTATGACTTTTATAATAACTGGCTAGGCAATAAAATTGTAGCTGAAATACACATCAACAAGGGCAAAATAACATGGTAAAAAGAAGCATATGGAGAAATCCGCTCTAAGCAGGCTATTACCACTCAAGAAAGAGATCTCAGAGTTACCTTGGGTTGCTTTATAAAACATAAACTCAATATTTCTCCATGATCATAAAACCAGTGTAATGAATTATTGGGGAAAAAAATGCAAACAAAACAGTGAACTGCTTAGATATCTGATGTGCCTACGTCATGGATATAGCTTATCATGGATATAGCTTATTGTTCTGGTCAGAGTTTATCAGAAAGTTACTATAGAATTAGAAAAGGTTCAAGGAAGTATGACAGTATGACCAGACAGAGCAGTTCTGTGCAAGTAAGAACTGACTAGGTTGGGACTTCTTAACCTTTTAGAAAGTTTTTTGGTAGTTACAAATGATATCATGAACAAAGTGAAGGTTGTTCATATTACTCATAACAAGAGGACTAGATAGCATACACTGAAATAATGTGATACTGTATTCAAAACAAACAATAGAAAATACTTTTTTATTCAAAACCGAATAGAATTGTGAGTTCCTTGCTATAGCGGGTAACAGAGTTCAAGCGTATAAATGGACCCCAAAAGACAAGTAGGATTAGACAAGTTTACTAAGGATAAATCTGCTGGTGACTAGGAAATACAGCAGTTTAGATACAATCTCCAGGTCAGACGCTTAGACGGATCTACCACAGGACAGATCACACTACACATGCCAGACATCTGCTACAAACAACTATCAGAGATAGAGCGGGGCCTGGGTGAACCTTTGATCCGATCCAGGATGGCCATTCTTATATTCTGACAGACCAATTGCATGTATACCCAACTGTCAGCCTGTTAACATAAAACTAGTTAGATTAATCACATTCACAATTTTAAAATGTTACCATACATGGCTGGTAAAATAAATAAATAATTAAATTCAAAAACTTTTCTCGAAATAACGTTTCACATAACTACCCTCATCTCCCAAGAAATAACTAGTCATAGAATGCAGCTCTGAGCTATAATCAATACAAAAATACACTAAAAATATGTACTTTCGTTCCAGGATGAATTTAACTTCCATTTATTAGAAGCTCATCATATTGAGGCGGCTTTCACAGACAAAGGATCTGAAGCAGCTCTGGCCAAACAAGAGAACCGGCTAGGAGATGAGATTTTTAAGGTATGTAAGTAATTAGATCTTTGTTTTTATGATCTAATTGATAGGGTACACTTTATGGACAGTGGCTCTTCTAACAGGCTTTCACATTGGCACTAAGAATAGATAAGCATATGCCTTGTTTTCTAATTCAAAAGGAAGGTATACTGGCTCTAACTGACCCAACAGATCATTCAGACAAGCCAATAAACATCCTCAAACTCTCTTTATTAATCTTGATGTGGATAGACAGTCACCAGCTCATTCTCTTATAGTTCAGTCTTATCAGCAATGATCATAAGATGCCATTAATCCTACATCAATCCTATATTGATCCGGAATCACCCTGTCTGGCCTCCTGGATAAAACAGACAGCAGAAGTTCACCTTATGATCTATGCATCAAGCCTATAAGTTCTTGGTGAGTTAGAGTGCTTCTTTTGTCTGACCTTAAGCTTGATATAAACTCTTCAAATGAAGAGGAATCCATCATGTGGAAATAGTTCCAGTGATTAAGTATTTTGCACTTTATTCTCACTCTAAGTATGTCTCACTTTCCTTTTTCGAGTCATTAGATCTTGCTGTGTCTATGTCACTAGCTTAAAGGTTTTATAAGTATCAAATGTCTTCATCTGCAGGTAATTATGGACCATGATCAAACTATCTCTTAACTTTCTGTGGATAAGCTAAATAGATTGAAGTCTCTTTGTTAATGCGGGTTCCCACTTTACAATTGTTTTTCTGAGAGGTTTTCTGACACGTCAACATATTTTCGCACATGAACTGATCACCCTACCTCAGAAATAGACTCAATGCCATAAGTATCACTATTGTTATGATCTTCCACGTTTTTCTCAGTATTTATATATACATCTCAAAGAATCACATTAGGTCTTTTAAGAGCTATGTAATTTTGAGAGTTCCTTTACAGCTGATTTGCAGTTATGATTTCTACATCTTTATAGCCCTTGCTTTCTACAACATAGTTCTCCAGCCTTCTAACAACTGGTGTATTACCAATTCACTATGTCCTTTGTTTGTCTTTTCTATGATTCCATATACCCAAGTAAATAACTATATGAAAGAAAAAAACTCCTGCAAATTAAAATAAATCAATATGTGAGTAAATTGTATTTGCCCTCACTCATTCAAATGCGATCAGAATTTCTTTCTACCTCCACTGCTACAGCAATACCTCTCAGTTGAGAAGAAGGCATGATAAAAGGAATATATTGAGACACGGGAAAAAAATACTTCATTTCTTAATTACTCTGTGAACTTTTTTCATTTGACAGTTTCCCTCCCAAGAGAAACATCCAGCATATGACACGCAGTGCCTAGCTAAATGAGCAAACACAGCACACATACATTCCCAAACATAAAAGAATCACATGAATTGTTAATAATTGTAGTGGCAGTGGGAATATAAAGGGGATGGCAGTTCATGATACAGGTTCATTAATCAAAACTGGTTGAGTTCATCTCTATGGGATCTTGCAAAATGTAATCTTTGGCAACCTGACTTTACTATAAGCTTCATTTAAGAAATAGGTGAATTGTTTCCCCAGTCTGGGATCAGACATCACTGATAAGGTTTTTACTACCTTTGAATAAAGTACAGTTATATATTAATAGCAGTAATATCATGCCTCATATTCATATGAGGACAACTGAATGTAGCATATTGGCTGAATGGTTCAGCAAAGTTTGATACACCAATCTGCTATTTTCAATCATACCAAATTCAAATTTTTTTGCATTGGAAGACGGTAATGCACTCTCATACATGACAGAGATGAAAACAGTGGGGTATATGGTTATGTAACTTCCAATTTAGTTCATGGTATAATGCACATGTACAATTTTAGGAGCTGTCTGTCTGCAGTTCAGTCAGCTACAGCCTCTTAGAGAAAAGAGGGAAGATACTCTGCTCTTTCACAGAAACTTTATTTCTGCTCTTTTGCTTTATCTTTAACCTGAAGTTACAATCATTATGCTGATACTGGGAGGTGTTTGTTTGTTTGTTTTTTCTGTGAGAAAAAATATGACCGAAATCATAACAGCCTTATCATGACTTAGTGGAAGATCCATTTCATCAGCTTCAAGAGAAGTCAAACTGATAAAGGAGAATAAATAGAAAATAACTTTTCCGCTGCTGTATAAAACACTATTTTAGATAACATCTCCTGTGTTTAGCAGCTACTTGTTAAGCTCAGAAATTGCTCTCTCCGTCTCTCTGTGCCCATTTTTAAAAAAGGAAATATGAAGGTAATACATGCTCACAATTGTTCAGGAAAGATGAAAGTTGAAAGCAGTGGCAAAGCTCTCACCCATTCCAATGGCACCAACTTTTACGTACCATTACTGTAAAGATAAACCTCCATTCATAAGGCTGAGCCTTTAGAGCAGTACATTTGGTCTCACGGGAGACTGTAACACTCAGCAGGATGTTTTTCTTTCTTTCTAAAATTTTAAAACAGAATTGTAAACCCCTAATTAAACTTTATAAGTAATCATTTGTGAAATAGTACAAAACAGTTTAAAAGAATGCAGCATGTATTTTCTGAAATCTGGGAAAGGAATTTCACCGTCTGCTGCTGCTAGGCAGATTAGGGTGGTGTGGTGTAAATGCCAAAGGCAACGACTAGATTCAGAAGTGAGCTGCGTCCATCAGAAGTCAGTGGCTCTATCTGTGGCATGAGGCCAGAGAAGACGTGGCAGAGGCAAGGTTCCCCTGGGCCTATAACACCCCAGGAAGTGGCTGTGCATAGACAAAGGCCATCTCATGGCACTGCGGCAACTGCTGCAGTGGCTCTGTGGGTGCTTGCAAAAACTATTCGGCCAAATCAGAATTTACTTGAGTCATAAATAAAGAATAACCCTTCCTTTTTAAATTGGAGTATCTATACACAATGCACTAGACTTTTATTTTTCACATACTTAACTGTTGTCACATTTCCCTAAAGTGAAATGCCTTTAAAAAAGAAAAATTATCTGCCAGTCTTTAGACTAGATTCACTCTGAATATGCAAAAGAATTTCAAGCAGTTCATCTGTGTCTTCTGCAACTGAATATCTGTTTCTTTCAGGTTGGTAGCTTTTCTGTAGTGGCACTAGCACACTGAGGCAAGACTCTAGGTTTATTACTCTTTAGTAACTTTAAAAAGTACTTGATAACTCACTTTTGTCTATAATAACCACATTTTCACTATGCCATCGCCTCACTGAAAATGATCTTTTCAGAGAAGGAATCTCAGCCCACACTGATCTTCCTGATATAAACTGGAAGCTATCTCCAAAGTTTTTTATACCACAGAGAAAGGGGATTGGTGAGGGAAAGGAGATTAAGTTGATAATAGAAATGAGAACAGGAAAAACTCAGCCATTTGTTTATAAAGCCTCAATCTGCACTCTGTTCTGAAATCCTAATCTAAAATTTTTAGATTATCATTCAGATCAAAGTGGTCTGAATCCTCGCATTGATTTTGTGATCTCCTAATACCAATAAAAATATAGTCTTCTTTTTTAAAATTGTTTTACATTTTCAGCCTGTCCTGGGGGAAAAAAAAGGAAGGCGCTCTGCTTGCTGCTTTAGATTTTGCATGAAGGTCAGTAAAACTCTTCTTTCTGCCTATCCTTTAATTGCCAAATGTCGTATTAATGCCGATCATTTCATTAAAGTCTTAACTAGAGAAATAATGGGGAAAGTGGGAAAATAGCTCAAGTACTTTCTCTTTTCTTTAACCCCATTTTGGCCTTCTTTGCCATTTACCATTTGTCATCTTATGTGGGCCAGGAAGAACAAATTGGCATAAAAATCTGCTGAAACTTCAACCCAGGATTACCCAAATGGAGGATCTGGCTAAGTCCCAGCTATGTGATGTCTCCTTTCTTTCCATTTTTTGAGTTCTCTGGTAGGAATTGCATGAGCCACAAACTCCACAAACTCAGCTGTAAGGTAAGAAGGAATATCCAGCTAAGTGGAGCATCTTTTTTTTCTGCCTGAGTAGGCCTGGATAAAACAATCTATCTCGGCTTGGACAGTCTCCTCCCTCCTCCCTTTTTTCCTTTTTTAGTCTCTGTTTCTTTTCAAAAATTGCAAGTGAAAAATAACATAATCTGGTTTTCCCGTCATATAATGCTGAATCGTAGAATAGTAGGGGTAGGAATGGAATATTTGGATCATCTTTGCCACTGCTTTCTGACTACTGCTATTTACTTCCTCATTGTTAATAAGAGATAAAGGAGATAACAAAGAGACTGCAGTGAAAAATGGTGATACTATTTTGACATCAATTTTCCAGAATAACTCTATTTCTGTATTGATGTCAACATATCATATAGGAAGGTTTTCTTTTGGTTGAGTGTACACCAATGAACATTGACCAGAAGGTGGCTGAATAGGTAAGCAGTGGTTCAGGGGTTCTCTGAGAGCATGCACCATCTTTTGTTTCAGTTTGTTTTTTTTGGATGAGTATCTGCAGCATAAACATGATGGACCCTGATTTGTTATCTGCACTGCTGAAAAATTACCAGTATTATAGGTCTGCAGTGGACTGCCACATTCTTGCATGGCAAAGTATGAGTGCAATCAAGAGCGTAACACAGCCGTGTGCTCTCATCTCTACCAGTGGCTGCTGAAGTAATCACTTTCTCACTAAATTTGCCATAGCTTATCTTTGGAAAATTATCAACAAACATCCTCCAGCACTAGCTAAAGGTTTTTTGTTCTCTCTCTCTTTTTAGTCTGATAATGGCATAAGTGTGACTTTAATAAACCATTGTAGCAAGTGGAGATTGCTAAAAGTAGAAATTGCCAAGAAGTTTTCTCATTGTTACTATTAGAGAATTGTTCCCACAACATCTTATGTTGGTATAGATTTTTCTGCATACTGACAATCAATGAAAACATATCTATGTCACCCAGATTTAACAGTGGTGTAAATAATTTGAAATCTGACATTTCAGCTATATAAACAAGGGGTAATATTGTGTTAAAGAAACTCTGTCACCTGTAGATTCACTG